TGTGTGTGTGTGTGTGTTTCTAGCCATCTGGTCAGTCATTGGCAGCCCTGCTGCTTGTAGTGATATACGGCCTCAGGAGGGTAAATAAACACTCCTTGCAGCCACAAGTAGGGTGGCCCCCCTGTGTAATGTTATCTTTACGGTGTAAAACTGTTTAAAACAATGTTTAAATGACCAGAGTTTAATATTTCTAGCCCTGCTAAAGGTTTACATTTCAAGCACTTAATGTACTTTTAATTTGGGCTTTATTTGTTTAGTGTGTCCTCAGCAAATCGCTGGTGACCTCCTCCGCATGTTGAGGGGCTGAGGGAAGGTGTAACTGATGGCCTGACACATCTCTTCGGGGGAAGAGATGTCTCAGTTGTTACTTATTTACACTTCCCCTTTTCTTGCTTTCTTCCCGACTCTCCTCTCGTTTGCCACATGTTGCTTTGATGTAGACAAGTCTCATATTACACATTACAGTTACAAATCAAACACATAAATAATAAAGCTTAAGATGTGTGTGCATTTCTGTGCACATAACAGTTTAAACATCAAATAACTGTATACAGACACAGACATATATATCTTCAACAACGGCATCCTTTTCACAAGAGTTTGAAAACATGTTTTTTCATCTCCAGTTTTGGTTATTTTTATGTTTTCAGATTAGTGGAAGTCAAGAAAGCAGAAAGAAAAAGAAGGCAGGGCAGAAGAAATAGCAAAAAGAACATTTTTCTTTCTATTTAAATCTGAGTGTAGGCTTAATAATAGAAATACCTCTCTGTATAATGCAATGCAGTTCAATAGCACCATTTACATCTTCCAGAAATGATCACAAAGTTCAATCAACACCTCCTTTAACAGTTTCAACAAAAACAGAATATTATAACTAACATATATAACTTTTTAACGTGTAACTTCCTGAAGTTCACACGTCAACAGTCCCTGTCTGATGCAATCTCTGCAACCTTGTGCCCACTCACCTCTCCACACTAGTCCCTTCCACCCTACCGCCCCATGCATATTCTCCTGACTGATGGTAAACAATGCTAGATGCACTTTAACCACACCAAACTCTGCCCTCTGTTCATTAGACCTGCTATGGCTCTTCTATCCCATATGATGTACACCAGCTGTGAACCAGTCTGAGAGCCACTAAGAGAGATCCTACAGACCTCAGTGGGTACCAGACTCTTCCATGATCTTTTGCATCCAGCTTAACTGCTGCAAAAACGGCATTTTACTGTGACAATATCAGCTTTTCTACTGACACCAGGAAATTATTTTCCTCTACCCCCACTCTTAATAACAACGTAAAGGCCAATAGTGGCCAATTCACCACCGAACCGCAATGTCCTCGGATTAAGAGTGCGTCACTTCCTGCATTTCTCCCTCTCACTGAGGAAGATGAAAACTCTTTCAAGCCATCTTTCTCCTACAATCGTGCCTGGGATCAGGCACATGATAAATGTTTCTCTGGCTTCGGGTACATTCCCCACAATGTTTAATCAGACCCAAGTTACTCCATTGTTGAAAAAGCAAACCCTAAATCCAATAACAATTTCATTTAGTTTTCTTCACCAAAATTATTTAAAAGCTGAAATATAGCGCTACTGTATATATAATTCAATTCAATTCAA